TGTACTTCTTCGCTCGATGCAGACATGTTTTTCGATAATGAATTTGATACGTTGGAATAATAAATTCACGCGATGGTCGTGTTATTACAGGTCATTGGATTCGTTTTGATCTCAGCTCTCACGATATAGTGATAGAAATATGTAATCCCGTTAAAAAACACATCGACGACCTCGAAATCTCGAAAACTATAACATTCAAGAAAAAAGCTACTTCCACCGCAATATGCGTCCCTTCGAACCATACAATCTGTTCCTCTACCATTTTTTAGTATCGTCAACGATAATGAAGATATTGTTTTGCAACAGCTTCGGCGGAACACCCTGTACGTACAACGGTTTTGAAGGTACAACCGAACGATATCGATGTCGTACAGGTATTTTACATTTCGGGTAAAACTCTACCTAAAGTCTCGTTTCCACTGGCTCGGTTTTTGCCGATCGGGCATGCCGCGCGGCATGTCACAACGCAACGATCGCTTGGGTTTTTGGCTTCGGTCGATGCCGAACGGCTCGCAAAGCCAATCGTCGGTGTTCTTCGACCGAGCGTTTGACTTCGTTGCTTCTGCTCTCGCGTTCTCGGTGATCCTGTACGAACGAACTTCGGCTGCTGTCCGGTGTTCCTGCTATGATCGCAGACAGTGACCGATATTGGTCGAAGACGTTGATAAATGTCGACGACAGGTAGTAACAAGACCGAGCGAGAGGGAATAACGACAGTATACGGAGAAAAAGAGAACACTTGTTCGGTCCAGCTACTGCCAATCGTTGACCTTTGTCACCGTCTTCGGCCAATATCGATCACTGAATGCGATTATCGGAGTGACAGCGGAAATGGGCCGTGCCTTCTTCTCGCGGAAAAATGGTGCATCAGTTCTACTTCTGGACGCTTTGAAAGCGACACCCTAAGGGCGACTTTATTTGCTCGAATTTGTTCGAAATGAAAATATCAAGCAACATGATCACGAAGATGCACAAGTGTTCTAAACTCTTGTTCTTGTACGAAACTGTACTCTTTTCGCCAACTGTTACGTCATCGTACGAGCTAGCAGTATCTTTGGAGAGAATTCTAGCACTTGTTAATTTTACCCCAGCTTATCCGTTTGCGTACCAGATGGTTCTGAAAAAACAGGATCGAAAAGCGCCGAAGAGCGCAATAGCGCTCCTTCGATTACGTGCCGAAAAAAGCCGTAAAACATAAAATAGAACGTTACGAATGAAAGTATATATACTATTAATTTAGAATAGGTAACAACAAAATGCAAATCGGATTACTGACAGCGATGCGACGCGCGACGTGTACATGCGTCTGAAAGACTGAGCACGTTTCGACAAATTTCGGGTGGGTCGTAAGTGGTCCGTTTCGGCCAAATGCCCTGGCTTTTCTCGACACAAAATCTGAAGAGCGCAAAAGTGGCTCGTGGTACGCAAACGGTTATTATTATCTTCGCTTGATCGGCCTGTGCCGACGCAGTGGAAACGCGCATTTTACAAGAGTCGGCTTAAGCTTCAGGCTTAGGCCTTAGGCTTAGGCCTTAGGCTTAGGCGAGCCGCGCGGCTTAGGCCAAGCGGCAAGACGAAGCGGCAGGGCTAAGCCAGTGGAAATGGGCCTTCAACAGCATATCGGAAGCTTCCTCCAGCCAGGAGACGCGGCTACAAAAACGTCAGCCCGCGCGAGAGACAATCGAACTTCAATCCTGTCCCTCGGTGTCCCATCATCGCGCGGGATCCGAAAACCTCGCCGCAAACGACGCGCCGCGCCGCGGCACCATTAATCTGAACCGGAGAGAAGTCGATGTCACCACGATTGCATTCGATCGGTTCCCGTTATAGGCGGCGAACGAATGCCAAGCGAGCAGCGACAGTTAGCGACGGACCGTGTAACTCCGAATAACCCGTTCGTTTGTTCGCAGATCGACACCCGAGACAGTACGAGCTGCAACAGCTGCGGGAGCAACGGCATCAGCAGCAGCAGCTACAACAGCAGGAACAGCAGCAGCAACAGCAACAGCAGCAGCAACAGCAGCAGCGTTCGCCGAGGACTGATCGTTTAGCTTCGCCGACGACTCATTACAGCCGGGGCCATGTCTTGACTAGAATATTGCCGCGGCGTAAATGTTGCGCGTAAAGGATCGACCCGACCCGGACCCGGCTGTTCCCGACGAGCCGCAATAACCGAAAGTAATTTAACTGTCGAAGAAAGGCTGGTCTGCGGCTCGCGCATAAATTATGTCAAGAGTTCCCTGGCTGCTGCGCGGGCGGATGGCGGAGGCGTTACCAGTTCGTTCCTCACTTTAATTAACTCTAATTAAAGCCGATTCGATTTCCCGCGCGGCGGACGAGACGTTTCGATCGACCGGATTTGCGGAATCCCGGGGACCGCGATGTTTCTTCTGCCGGCGCGATAACGATCTTTGACTCCTAGCCCTTGGCTCGCCGGATCGGCGAGCACCGCGGGCTTTCGATCGATCGAGACCGTTAAACACGTTGATTTCACGTGGGATTATTGCGCGCGGCTTGCTCGTCCGGCCAACGAGAACTTATTCCGTCACATGGTGAAATATTATTTGCGACGAACGAGGTGAACTGTCTAATCATTTGTCTTGTATTGTATTTTCATTTTTGCACGCTGTTTTGGTAACCGTGATGATATTGACAGATTTAAATGCAGTGGAATTTACTCGAGTGTACACAGGGTGTCTCGAATATAACTGAGTACAGTTGAAATACGACTAAGAAAATGTGTGACTTGATTTTCAAAAAACTTGACTCAGTCTTCGTTGTATGAATGAATAAATTGTTAATTTTGCGTAAGACATACTTTCGTACTGAACAGCTTTTGTATAAACATTTTTTGCGTAGCTTCAACCCATTCCGAAATATTTCGTTGCACTTAGACGAAACACCCTGTATATGGACGGCTCAGAAGCCGATCGGTGTGAGTCCATTAACTGTAAAATTGAGATAAACAAGGGTTTTGCAAATTAGCTGTAAAAATATCACAACGTCACTAATAATTGAAAGCACAATTTTTATTATAATTGAATCAAAAGAAGTATTAGTATTTAATTATATTTTATTCAATTTCTTTTATTTTTATTTGCCTTCTATAATTTTTTAAATTTTGTTTAGAAATTCTGTGGTCGATATATAAGTGCTGCTATCTATTGTTTATTTATGAAGAAATCGACTATATTGATTTATCGACCGAAAGATCCTGATAAAGAGAGAGAGAGAGAGAGAGAGAGAGAGAGAGAGAGAGAGATGTCAAGATTTTGATTGCACTGCTTAACTCATTTTCAAAAAAAAAATGGACGTACATTGATTAGCTTCTGAACCGTATCTCGATCGATAACCAATGAAATTAATAATTAGACCGCGAATTTTGTGCATAGATGACAGAAATGAATACACCATACAATTATTAACAGAGGAAAGATATTTTTATGTAATTTATGCCTCTTACAATTAACTTAGACAATTTTGATTTGGCACGAAGTTTGCACAGTATAACAATGATAAAAAGGATGCTGACTATGCGCATGAGATGTTTCTTACCTGTGACGTTCCAGCAAGTATAGTCTTCGATTCTGCCAGCCACTTAATACAAGAGAAATTTTATTACATAGATTAATCTAGTTATTGCTTAAAAATTCACTGTTGTGTACTCGGTCGAGTCTGATTAATCTGAAGAAAACGTGATCTTCAAGAATCTTCTTTAATAATACTGATAATTCTCTTTTTTAAAAGAGCACTTAGTTTAAGAGCACGTACATTGTAAAACTTTATACTCATTTTTTTGTATCGAAATCTTTAGAAATAGATGAATAACCGTCTCTTTTACAGAAGTTGATTTTTTTTAACCGTTGCAAGGTAAGCACAATTCCTTGGAGCTGCATCATTGGAAAGACTAAAGAGTTTTGGAAAAGATTGATTTTGTCTGGCATCAAGAAGAAGTATTTGCGCAATTTAAATGACAGAAGTTGCTGAATAAAAGTGTCTTATCGTAGGCTGCTAAACTAAATTTCAATATTATTTTATTTGTAACGTCTATTAAACAATTGGTCTCTTAAACAATTTGGACTCATAAATTTTCGAAACAAGCAATTTCGTTCCAACTACGTAATGACTAATTATAATACAGAAAAGTGTTTAGTATACTAAAATATACTAAAATCAATAATTACAGATACGATGAACCTAACGTTTTTCGCTTAAAATGCAAATTCCCTAACGTCAGGAGCTTATGTTTTATTATGCAAAGCATTCCGGGTCGCGCGTCCGAAACGAGGTCGTGTGAAACATATGTTATGGCAAACTCTGTTTAGAATTTTCGTGTTCTGAAAAAAAATTAGACAGTTTCCGGATACGTGGTTCGAAACAACCTGCATACCAGCAATATTTGTCCAGCAGGATGAATGTATTTATTCGACAGAAAAACGTATGTGCAGCATAATCGTTAATCTGGTATCCATTGAAATTGTTAACATAATTATCTTCTTCGTCCTTCGCTCTAATTGCTAGATGTTCCGATACCGATCTATCCGATTAAAAGTTATATTCCCGGCCTACTTCTTCAAGTGAAGCACTCAGAGTTTAATTAAGACAGCGACGAACCGCGATTTTTTGTTTGTTAACTTCGAACGATCGAAACTCGATTCTTAATTCCCGCGGGTTGCCAAGGGTCAATCGGCAAGGATCGTCGATCGAGATATACTTTTCATAGCTTATGGAAGATATATTAAATTAGACTGTGTACATTCGTAGGACATGCGACCGCCGCATAATTAACTCGCGGTCGGTCCATGTTTTTAGCGGCCATGCGGCAATCACGATTGGGCCAGCGCAGGCCCCGGTATCTTCCTATTGTTGGCTTTTTTTGTTTCATTTATGGTCGCGAATCCTCTTAGAACGTGTACAGAGCTGGGTAAAATATTCTCTCGAACAGTAAATAGCCTGTCAGACTGCGAGCCATAAATATCGCTTTCGGAGCAAAATATTTTACCTGCTGTTACAAGTTTTTCAAACAGTATTTTATTTGCACGATGCTGAAAGCCGTAGCTATCTGTTTCAGTCCATGCTTGCGTATTTACTTGACTCCTTCGGATTGACTCGACGGATTAGCCGAGGCGATGCAAATTTTGAACGATGCGAGGCATTTATTCCATGATTTGTGGATGCCATTGTCGCAGAGAAATAGCGGAATTTCAGTTGATAACCGTTGCGAAGGAAGCTTTTCCAGAATAGAAATGCGATTATTAAAATAAGAAATAGTCGTATTCGAGTTGACGATTATTTCTATTCCAAAGGAAACGTTTCAGCACAATTTGAAAATATGCATGCGACCATTCAAATAAGAAATACAGTAATGTCTCTCTAATTGACGCTCAGATTGACCACAAAAATGGACAATTTGGGGAGAGGAGGTACGATTATTCGAGCCTTGTGGTTTATTGTTATAGTTATAAATTGCCCACAATTATAAAAACGAGCCGCAAGGCTCGAATAATCGTATCTCCTCTTCCCAAATGATCCATTTTAGTGGACAATCTGAGCGTCAGTAAGGGAGACATTACTGTACAAGTATTCGAGTCGATAATCATTCTTCTTATACCGAAGGAATCTTTTCACTGCAATTTCTCAAATAGAAATGCTTGTGTCTGCTTGCAATTATTACAGTAAGAAATAGTCTTATATCCGAATAATAATTAATAATTAATATCCGAATTGACGATTATTTTCATTCTAAAGGAAGCGTTTCAGCACAATTTGAAAATACGCATGCGATCATTCAAATAAGAAATACAAGTATTCGAGTCGATAATCATTCTTATACGAAAGGAATCTTTTCACTGCAATTTCTCAAATAGAAATGCTCGTGTCTGCTTGCAATTATTACAGTAAGAAATAGTCTTATATCCGAATAATAATTAATAATTAATATCCGAATTGACGATTATTTCCATTCCAAAGGAAGCGTTTCAGCATAATTTAAAAATACGCATGCGACCATTCAAATAAGAAATACAAGTATTCGAGTCGATAATCATTCTTATACCGAAGGAATCTTTTCACTGCAATTTCTCGAATAGAAATATGCTTGCGATTATTGAGACAAGAAATATTTTATTCATAATTTCAATTTCTACTGAAATAAAAATATTAACTACTCTAAACTCCATAATATCTATTATCGCAAATATCACTTGCGTACATTTTACCCAGCACAGCACATGAGAAATGAATTGTGGCGTGACAAGATAGAGAGAAAATCGAGGGCGGGTCAGATTAGACACAGCCACGGTTTGCCGAAGCGTTGCACTGCCATTCGAAGCGTTGTCCGTTCGATGTTCCGACAGGAGATTCGACTAAGGAATTAATCGGGTAACTTTCTCTCTGTAATATACATATACATATATACATACATGTATTTGATACATAAATTTTATACATTTACTGTAATGTCGTACGATGGTAAACGATTGTTAGTTTTGTCTTTTTTTTCTCTTTTCTCTTTTTAACAATGATATGCGAGTGGCCTGGAGGGATGTCAATAAATAATAAACGAAACTTTACTTACGCTATGCTCCGCGGGGGTCTTCATTCATTAATTACGCACCTTAATTACGATACTACCTAATCCTTAGCGTAAGAACCATCGTCTCGCCGCGGTACCGTCCGATCACGAAGCTACGCGTTCGGCGGAAACTCTCGGCAACGTTTAATAACGTTCGACAATATTTGTATCGCCGACGAATTAAAAGGGTCCAGATGCATCCGGCACTAGCGGCGTTGCTCAGCGCAATGAAATATAATTAGGTGCGCTCCGCGGAGAATAAAAATAGAAATACCAATACGAATCCGAAACATTCCTCGTTACACTTCCGAATTAGTAGAAAGTTTAACGACGCCGTGATACCACTGTTTCGTAAACGGAGGATTCGATCGTTAAAATTTTCATTCGCGCGAGCACGCATCGTCAACTAATTAACGATCAACGGACCGCGGATCTCGCGCACTTTCAGCAATCGCGGATAAACGAGAGACGCAGACCAGCGAAGACGCAAGATGAATTAAAAAAAGAGAAAAGAATCCTGCGGCATTGCTGTCGTTGCATCTATATAAAAATGTCATAGAATAAAGCAATACGCTTTTATCTAACTTCCGTTTCATACGAGGACAATTTTCATCTTTTTGCATACAAATCCGCGGTCTAACGATCAGAATGCTGGACAATGTAATCCGAGGGAACGATCGAGAGGATTTCAGTTCCCCGGGCGAATTATAAAACCGGCATGCCGTGTCCCGTTGAAGATTTTGAAGTCGCCTCAACGATAACGCAATAAAGGATTGCCACGACGTTTCCGGATTATGCGTATCGTCGACTGCCCCGACTGAAAGAAATGCCAAATGAAACGCGCGCGCGGGATCATCTCCGTAATAATTGCGAGACCGTTAAGGGATAGCGACTGCATATTATAGCAGGACGGATGCAACGGGTATCGTATAAACGAGATTAAACAGGATCCGCTGCGCTGTTTATGTTTGTTTTACAGGACGAAGTCTCGTGACTCGCTGCGCGCTCTGCCGCGTTCTTAATAGCCCATTGTTTAACGCGCGGCTTATTACGTATGTATTCGGCTGCTTTCACGACTATGTTATTCGATAACGATGGAATCCGCTGACGGCAGAGGCATCGTCGAGAAACGTCGTCGCGATGCCGAAACAACGCGTATTGTACAGAAACGACGGATTTGTGATTCGAGGAGACGCGAATCGCATGGCATAGCAATCGTATCGAAACTTTCACGCTGCAAATCGGCATTGCTCCGAAACGAACGGATAGATAGGCGAAGATTTTTTTAAAAGCGACCGCGAGATATCGCGAGGCTTCGTAATCGTCGATACTCGTTGATGACGGATGCAAAAGAAATCGTTCTCTCGTTCTCTGGTTTCCTTCTCGCTTTATTCCCTTAAAAATTACAGCTTCGAACACGACAACGCTTATCGGTACAATTGAAGGTATCACAAACTCTTCTGGTGACCTCTAGTTATATTTCCCACATATT